GTTATCTAACAGATAGTGAGGTTTAGTGCACCTATACTGACTTGCAAAGGGAAGTTAATTGGCTTAAACTGGACAATATGAGATTTCTATAATTAGCAATCTTCTATATACTGTCTGCACAACGAAAATGTGTTATTAATTAATGCAGCTATGCATTAAGCTGAAGTTACAATTTGCACAATTAAATGTCCGCACAATGAAAATGTGTTATTAATTAATGCACCTATGCATTAAGCTAAAATTATAATTTGCACAATGAAATGTCTGCACAATTAAAATATGTTATTAATTAATGCAGCTATGCATTAAGCCAAAGTTACAATTTGCAGTAATGCTCAAGTTGTGTTTCCCACCTGGAAAATTCTGACACTGTACCTGGAAAGGCTTCACTCCAACTCCATTTTTGTTCTTCTTTTTCACAACATCAATGATTTTCGTCACGAGCTGGTCAGCCACATAATCAACGTGCCTGCCACCCTGAGGAGAATGGGACATGGACCTGAGACTGAGGGCACTAAACCCACAAAAATATAAATATTTAAAACATGAAGCACATTCTTTGCAACATTATTTTTCACTAACATATGTACACTTACATATGTACACAAATAACCAAAAATATTCATGTTGAAGAACATGGCACAAGTCTGATTAAACACACTAAGGGTTTACCTTTGTGGTGGCAATGCTGTTAACAAAGCTGACTTGCTGGAAGCCTTTTTCACTCAAAGTCAAGCACACTTCCCATCTGGAATTGACTTCCTCATGGATAACTTTAAGTGCATTCCCAGTTTCATCAACCTTATCTTTCAGATAAAGATCCACATAGCTGCGGAATCCTTTCACCTGCATGCAGATGAGAGCAGACAACTGGTTGATAATAGCTCCTATAAATACTTAATTCACATCCTCCTGCAAAAAATCCCTCCTGCATGTGTTCCTTTGCTCTGTGTGATGGACAGGAATGGCCTCAAAAGAATCTCACTGGTTAAATGGCACGGAAAAAAACCCAAATATTTGTGTTTCTTTTCAATGCTCACTTACAGGAAGCCTCTGTCCATTCAGGAAAACTTTGACATCCTTTGTGGATCCAGCAATATCATAAGCTCTTCGAGACATCAGTGCTACAATGTCCTTATCCAGAACAGTCATTTTGAATTTGGACAGATCAGGTTGGAAAGTGACACAGGTGTAATCCTCTCCATCAAAGTATTTCAGCTTCATTTCTCCAGCCTTTCCCATGTTGTCTGTCCAGGTCTGAGGAAAGGAGCTTTGGTGAGTTGCAAGTCAAACAAACACACATAACTACCTTAGTTTTTAAAAGCAGTGAGATGGTTTATGTGTTTTAGATATCTTTAAACTAAACAAAAACTCTGGTTAAAAACCAGATTCTCATGTTGTCTGCTAATTTCATTATTCCTTTGAATTACATTTTGTGGGTCAAATTTCCTCTAATCACACTGAACTAGTTTTGAAACAAAACCTGAGGGTCTCATTTGAAAACCTCAGGTATAAACTCCTTGGAAAGAAAAGTGCTCCTACCTGCTTGAATAACTTCTTGTATTCACGACATCCAGTTTCCACAGTAAATTTTGTGCTGAATATGTTGCACAGTTTGGCTCCATAACCATTTCTCCCCCCTGGAATTAGAAGGAGCACAGACTTGTGTTATTCTCTTTGTCCAAAACCATCTAAAAGAATCCAAGGCTAACTGGAGTTTGTCAATGTCCACCCAATCCAAAGACAACTGTCAACAAGCAACAATATTCAACAAGCTCAGTATGCAACTACAAACTTTGATTTAATGAGGGTTTAAGAGAATATTCAAAGACAAGTTTCCCATGTTTGCACTGCTGTTATGATTAAACAGAGCACAGAGACTTCTCTGATAGATTCAGAATGTGATTTTCATAGAATCACAGAATGGTTTGGGTTGGAAGGGACCTTAAAGCCCAGATTGCTTCAAGCCCTGTCCAGCCTGGCCTTGGACACCTCCGGGGATGGGGCAGGCACAGCTCCTCTGGGCAACCTGTGCCTCACCACACTCACAGAGAGGAATTTCTTCCACATATCTCACCTAAATTTCCCCTTTTTCAGTTTTCACACTGCATCCAGGACCTCCCTCCTGCCCTTTCTAGCTCAGGTCACACACTTGGAGCTGTTCAGAGATATTAGTGCACATCTGAGCCTTCCTCACCTGTGACTTTCTTCTCATTGTCATCGTAGTTGCTGGATGTCAGCAGCTGTCCAAAGATCAGAGCAGGCACATAGACCTTCTCCACTTTGTGTTCAACAACTGGGATGCCTTTCCCATTGTTCCACACACTGATTGTGTTATTCTCTCTGGGGAGGGAAAGAAAAGTCTGTTTTTAAGGCTGCAAATGGCTGAGATTAGAAAGAAGTCACCAAAAGGCTCTGGGGAAAGGCACCATTTCACCAGGAACAAATCTGTGCTCAGCAAGTGCAGCAGCTGCCAGCAGAGGGGGGACAGGCAACACAGAAATGCCCAGATCTGCACATGCTGCCTCTGAAATGGACCCACACACCAAAGCCCTGTCTGTGCTCAACCAAGATAAACAGGGAGAGGAAGAGGAAAACCACAGCAACAAAAGAGCTGTTTCCCCAGTCAGCCCTCTCTGAGAGAGCAGGGCACTAAGAGAGAGAAAGGCTTTCACTGCTGGTGAATTAAATTTGGGCTATCTCAGATCAGCCCCACAGCCCTGCAGTGCCACCTCAGCTTTGCAGAACAGCTGGAGGCAACCAAAAACAATGAAACCAAACTTACACATCAATTGTGACTTTAATGCACGACATGTTTTTATCCCTCTGCTTGTTGTCTGCAGCATTGACTAGAAAGGAAAGAGAATATTGGTTTTTTATTACATTCTCAATCAAGGGAAAACTATGAAGTGTTCCAGTAGAATGAACACAAAAACTCACTACAGTGTTACTAATAATCACCTCAGCATGAAAATATTTTTCAAATTACAAAGAGGAGTACAAGTTATCATGGAATTAGGAAGGTTGGAAATGACCTCTGAATTCCTCCAGTGCAACCATTGACATAAAAGGGAGAATTTTGGGCAGAACGAAATCAGGTTTGTAATTGGAGTTTTGAAATTTTTCTTTTAGTTTGTTTCCCATTAATAGCTTGCTATTAAGCAGTGCTAATAAGCTCTTGATAATTTATGTTTAGCTCCAGTTTCTTCCATTCAACCCCCGTTAATAACCCGTCACTCACTGACTCAATGGATCTGTCAGCTTACCCAGAATCTCATCAAAGATTTTGTACAAGCCAGGCACAAAGGTCACATCTCTGCAGTTGAGGCCAATGCCTTCATCATAAACCCACATTTGCTAAAAAAAAAAATTAAAAAAGAGGAAGGAATTTTTAAGTGCCCAGGTCCAGCCCCTCTTCTGTGCCATTTGTGATAGATAAGCAGATGTTTTGTGCTTTGTAAACAGTTGCTAAAGAATCCCCGCCTGCCCCGAGGTGCTCGGGGGGCTCAGCTCTGCTCCTACCTGGGTGACGAGCTCCACGGAGCCGATGTAGGTGTCTGGCCGGAGCAGGATGTGCTCCAGCTGCGTCTTCTTCTGGTAGATGTGCTCCACCGAGAGCTTCTTGGGGCCATCGGGCTTGCCCACCACGATGTTCTCGTTGGCGGGCTGTGAGGGGACAGGCGGCGGTGAGGGGAGCACAGGGGGAACACGAGGGGGCCCGGCCGGGGAATGGAAGAGAAAAACAATCGCAGAGGAGCGGGGAATCTGAGGGGAGTGAGGGCTGGGCAAAGGCAGAGAGAGGAGCCCCGGGAGACCCTGAGGAGACCCAAGGGGGGCTGTGAAGGAACCCGGGGAGATGCTGAGGGGGAACCGGGGAGAACTTGCGGGTGCCCGAGACCCTGAGGGGACGGTGTGGCGGGGGATCACGAATCCCCGCAGCGATCGCAGGACGTACCCGGAGGGGCGACTGGGGCTGCGAGAGCTCCATGGCGGTGACGGCGGCGGCGGCAGAGGCGATAGCGGCAGAGGCGATAGCGGCTGAAGCGGTGATGGCGGCGCCAACGTCCCGTTCAAACCTCCGCTCGTCCCGCCGAAATGCGCAGCCAATCCGCGCCCGCGGCTCCCTGCTCTCTGCCAATCGCAGTGCGGGGGCGGGCACACGGCTAGCGCTCTGCCCGCCCTCTGACCAATCAGAGGCCGCACCGCGCGTTCAAACCGGCCAGTCGGGAGGGGGAGCGGTGAGATTGGCAGCCGAATTGACCAATAGAAGAGCGAGAGGGAGGGCACGGAGGCTGCCCGTTTGCCGTTGGCGATGGGACATAGTGGAGCACGCTGGGACATACTGGGATATACTGGGATACACTGGGAAACCCCGACACACACTGGAATACACTGGACAGACCCTGTGAGCCCACTGAAGTACTGCTATACACTGTGCGAGCCCCAGGGATTCACTGGGACCCGTTGGACTGGGACACTGGATGGAGCTTGGACACACACTGGGATACACTGGGAATAAGTGGGATACACTGGACAGACATTAGACCCACTGGGATCCACTGGGAATCAGTGGGATACACCGGACAGAGCCTGGACATGCACTGGAATACACTGGGAATCACTGGGATATACCGGGAATGTGTCAGAAACCCACAGGAATACTCTGAGCAAGACTTGGCACTGGGATATACTGGACACACTGTGTCCTGGGACCAAAACACAGACCTCACTGACACGGAGACCTGTGCCAGGGTGTCCCCTCCCAGTTACCACCAACCCCAAGGGGACTGGAACCCATTCCCAGCCCCTGCTCCCATTCCTGTATGTGTCCCCTCAGCCCCTTGCTGCAGCTGACCATGTCCCCCAAGCACAAAGCATAGCGTCATAAAAAACAACATTTTTATATCTTTATTTCTGGGTGGTGATGGCTCCAGTGGAGGTAGGAGGCTGCAGGCACAGCCCAGCATTGCCCCATGGCACAGGGATCTGTGGGGTGGCACAGCCTGGCCGTGGACCTGGTGTCCCCTCAGTGCTCCCAGGGACATTCCCCAGGTCTAGAGGAGCACCCGGAGCTCCTGCTCGGGTCCCACCGCTGTCACCACATGTGCCGGTAAGGGAAAGCCACCTCGATGCAGAGCACGGCCAGAGGCGTGGAGCAGTTGTGCCTCTGCCCAGCCAGCAGCCTGCCCTCCCCCAGGGCGCTGGCCATGCCCTGGGCTGTGCCAGAGCTGCGCCAGCCCTGGCAGTCCCAGAGGCGGGCATGGCCACCCCGTGGCGTGGAGCCGTGCCAGGCTAGCCGGTGGGGCCTGTGGGGGGGATGGGGTGAGAGGGGCACCCCTGCTCTTTGCTCCTGCATTTCTGCAGGGAGAGAGCCGGCACAGACCCCCCCAACACAGGGGCACCCTTCCAGGACCTTGCCCACACTCACCAGAGGGGATCTGCCAGGACGTTGCGCCCGTTGAAGGAGTAGATGGGACCCCGCAGGGCAGCACCCCCAAAGAGGGAGCTCCAGGACTTGGCCAGCAGCTGCCCCTGTGGGCACGAGCCACTCTGCTGAGCCAGTGGAATGCCCTAATCCCCAGCCCTAATCTGGGTTCTGGGTGCTCCCCAAATCCCTGAGCACAGCCTCAGGGCTGGGTGGGGGTCCCCCACTCGCTGCAGCTCATGGGGGCTGTGAGGTTTGTCACCCCCAGCCCCAATCCCCATCCTCTGGGTTCTGGGTGCTCCCCAAATCCCTGAGCACGGCCCCAGGGCTGAGTGGAGGTCCCCCACTCGCTGCAGCTCATGGGGGCTGTGAGGTTTTGCCTCCCTCAGCCCCAGCCCCCATTCTGTGTGTTCTGGGTGCTCCCCAAATCCCTGAGCACGGCCCCAGGGTCCCCCACCTGCTGCAGCCCATGGGGGCTGTGAGGTTTTGCCTCACCCAGCCCCCTGGGGACGGGGCACCTGCCTTGAGGTTGATGATGGGGAGGGTCCTGTCTGTCCTCTTGACGATGGACAGCAGCTGCTGGCTGGGGGCTGACAGGAAGGCCCGGAAGGTTCCGTAGAGCCCGGCCTCCTGGGACTGCCGGTAGCACTGCAGGTCAGCGCCGCGGATCCCGCTCATGTCGCCCCACAGGGGCACGTTGAGGGCAGCCAGGCGGAGCTGGGGGTGGCAGGGAGGAGTTGAGGTCTCTGCTCCCCCCATCCCAGAGGGTGTGAGCCCCTGGCAGTGCTGCTCAGGATTGGGGGTCCCCCTATCCCATCCCCACCCCGGGGCCAGGCATTCCTTACAGATGGGATCCGTGGGGCTGTGGTGGTGGGCAGAGTCTGGGGCAGCTCTTGTTCCTCGTCCTTCTGGATCTGCCAAAACACAGCTCAGGTCAGTCTGGAGACACCCATCTGTGTGCCCTCCCCAGACCAACACAACACCAGGCTCTGCTCGTGCCAAGCTGGCACTGCCCTGCTGACATCCAGCCCATTGCTAGGGCACATCCCTCCCAGCATGGCCAGACCCTCAGCAGGGCTCACCAGTGAGTCTGTTGGAGACTGCATGGGTGACAGTGTATTGGGACCTCTTGGCTGCATCCTCTTCACCTCCTGGATGGAGAGGTGGAAGAAGAAGGAGAGAACAGCCCCGTGAGGTCTGTCCACTCCATCATGCAGAGAAGGGCTCTGTCCCCTCACAGGGACTTGAGTGGACCCTGCAGCTCCTGCACCCCTCACCTGGTACTGTGGGGTGGAGGCAGAGGGGTCATCACCAGCCAGGAACGACTTGGGATCCTCCAGCTGCTCAATGACACAAACAAAGGGACAGGTTAGGAGGAATCCTCATCTTCCTGGGGATCTGCTGCCCTAACCCAACCCTGGATCCTGCCCCCCCAGCCCTGCCAGGGACCCCACACGGTACCAGGAGGCGGCTCCAGCCAGCGGGGGTCCGCAGGAAGGCGCTGCTCCCTTCCCTCACGTAGACCAGGCTCCCCTCGGGCACAGCCCTGCTCGCCTTCACCATCAGCTCCTTGGACTTGAACACCCACGTGTGGCGCTGGGGGGAGGCAGAGGGTGAGGGTCCTGCTGGGGGGGTTTGCTGGGGCAGCTGGGGGGGTTGGCCTGGGGGTGCAGCCTGGACGCACCCGGAGATCAGCGCGGGAGTCCGATGGCTCTGCCTGAGGGACACCAGCATCTGGAGAGCCCAGAGATGGTGAGGGGTCACAAGGCGTCCTAGAATAGGGCCTGGATGCTCCCATGGGAGCTGGCCCCACAGGGATGTGGTGGGAGTGGGTGGCAGAGGCAGCAGTGGTGCCAGGGAGCCGGGCTGGCACGGCCCCAGCACCCAAGGAAGGGAGGAAGACTTCAGGAAATGTCCGAGGAGGCTGGAGCCCCCAAAACACCTGGGAAACACCCTCACCTGATGGCCAGCTGCGGTCTGTGGATGCCTGTGAGGGCAAACAGAGCCTGTGGCTGCTGCTGGGCACAGGGAGGGGACGGGGACACTGTTGGGGACAGCGAGGCTGTGGCTTACCGGCTGCTTGCAGGGCGGCTGGGCATGCACGGGGTGCACCCTCTGCAACCAAAGGCAGGTTTGGGGTTTGGGGGGGCCCTGGTGCTGTGCACACTCACACAGGTGTGTGTGTGCTCAGGCACAGGCGTGTGCACACCAGGGCTGGACCTTACATTGAGGTAGAGGAGACCTGGAGGGCCAGGGGGGCCGGGGGGCCCGGGGGGTCCGGGGTTCCCGGGGGGACCTCGAAGAGCCTGCAGAGGAGCAGTGTGGAGTTGGACTGGGCTGGTTTGGGGCTGTGACACCCAATTGATGCCCCCCATGTTCCCATTCCTGTCCCCTCCCAGGGCTGAGTGTCCCTGGCTGGGGCAGCACACAGGCCAGGCAGGGACTCTCACATGGGGGATGATGGCTCCATAAATCTCCGGTTCCTCTTTGCCATCCTGCAAAAGAAGAAGACTGAGACTGATGTCCGTCCTCCCTCTCTCCATTTTTCATCTCCCCCGTCTCCTTCCTCCACCCCATCTGGGTCCTGTGGGGTGAAGCATGTCCCCAAGGCTGGGCTGGGGTCCCGGGCACCCCTTCCCCATGCCACTCACCGTCTGGTACCCACTGATGGAGCCCCACGAGCCGGGCTGGCTGCCGGTGCTGGGGAAGGGGAGGTGCCCTGGTTTGCAGCCGTGCTCCCCATAGCAGCACCCCTGGGTGAGCCACAGAGAGAGGCAGGGTTAGAGCCTGTGCTGAGGCTGGGGGTGGCTCTGGGCATGTTTAGGGGTGGCACAGGTGAGCACACGTGTGCCATGCTGTCCCTCCTCCCCCACCATGTGCCCCGAGGGGAGCTGAAGGGTTTTGGGGAGCAAAGGCAGCACAGAGGGCTCAGGGGTGGGGATGGGACCCCCCAGCCTGCTGCTCTCCCCCCACACTACAAACCGGCTCTCCAGGGTCGCCCTTTTCTCCCTGGAAGGGAAGTGAGAGATGCTGTCAGTGCCCAGCTCTGGGGGTCCCCAGGCTTCCCAAGCCCCCCAGGCAGTGCTGTGCCTCACAACCAGGGTAGATGGTTGGTCAGGAGCCCTGCCCATGGTGCCCAGCTCACCTTGGTGCCCGGCAGCCCGGCCAGCCCATGGTGTCCAGCGTGGCGTGAGTCACACTGCAAAGAGAGGATGTCTGGGGTGACACTGGGGTTCCCCCCACCCAGGACCCACGGCTTGCGACCCTCTACTCACTCTGTAGTCCCCTGGTGGTCCTGGTGGCCCCATGGGACCGGGCATGCCCGGGGACCCTGGTTCTCCGGTCCGGCCAGGGCTCCCTGGCATGCCTGGCAGCCCATACTCGCCCTTCTCGCCCTGAGGGCAGATGGCACAGGGTGTGAGTGTGGAGCTGAGCCCCTGGGCTCCCCCAGGCCCTGCTGTGGCAGGATTGGGGCAGCCCTGGAGTGCTCTGAGGGCTTGGTAATGGGGCTGCTCCCCCAGGGCAGGGAGAGGAGCTGGTGAGCCCAGGTACCCCATCCCACCCCAGGGCCATGGACAGGCCTGGGACCCCCTTACCTTTGGTCCTGGGAATCCTGGCTCCCCTCGGAGCCCTGGTTTGCCAGGGTGTGATGCAGATCCTGGGGGACCAGGGGGTCCTTCGTGCCCAGGCACCCCGGGGGGACCCTGAGGCCCTGGGAGTCCGGGTGCCCCTGGGGGTCCATCCGGCCCAGCGGAGCCTGGAGACCCCGGGAGTCCTTCAGCCCCAGGGAAACCGGGTGGCCCCGCGGCTCCTGGGGGGCCTGGGGGTCCTGGCTTTCCCTCCCGCCCAGGGGCCCCCTGGGGGCCATCGTGCCCTGGGTAGCCGGGGGGTCCGGGCATGCCGGGCAGCCCGGGGGGACCTGGGGGTCCCGGGTTTCCCGCAGGGCTGGAGACTCCCAGCTGCTTGTCAGGTTGGAGGGAGAGAGGAGAGGGAGCAGAGTCAATGAGCTGCCGTGTGGCATCCCCTGGTGCCCCTGCCCACCCGCACAGCCGCAGGTCCCAGTCCCCCCCACCCGGCGGCCAGCACGGGCATCCCCGGCCCCTGTTCTGTGCTCACCTCGTTCTCTGATCTCTCAGGGAGCGCAGCAGGCGCGGGTGAGCCCCGGGCTCCCCCAGCACCCGGGGGTCCCGGGGGCCCCGGTGGTCCCGGAGGACCCGGAGGGCCCCGGGGACCCTGGTGGCCTGGCTGTCCTGGGCTGCCGGGCATCCCTCTCTCCCCTAAGAATCCGGGCTGGCCTCTCTCTCCGGGGAACCCTCGGTCACCCTTCTCTCCCTGCAGGGGAAATTCAGAGCCACCTTCTGGCACTTTGCTCCACTGGAGCCCCCCACGGGCACCTGCTGACTCCCCCCCCGGGGCCACCTGAGCCACATCTCCACCCAAACCCCGAATTAGAGTCCAAATCCTGAGCAAAAAGGGTTTAGCTCAGACAAAGACCATCACGGTGGGTGTCTCTGGGTCCCTGCGGGAGGAGCAGCGCACCTTTGGGCCGGGAGGGCCGGGGCGCATGGGGCAGACACAGCCGGAGGTGTTGTGCACCTGGAGAGGGAGGGAACAGCCGTGAGCAGCGGGGACGGAGCCCAAGTGACGGGTCCGACACAGGTGCGCCGCGCCCACCTCTCACCTGGAGGGCAGGGTCCGTGTCCGGGACCGACGGGAGCCGCCGGGGCAGCCCCTTGGCCGTGGTCTGTGCGGGGGAGAGGGGCTGAGAGCGAGATCCCTGAGCACCATCCCCATTCCCCATTCCCCACTCCCACCGTCCCCGTTCCCCACTCCCACCATTCCCTACTCCCACCATCCCCGTTCCCCACTCCCACCGTCCCCATCCCGTCCCGCCCGTGTTTTCCAGAGCCCCTTGTCGCGCTGTCCATCCCAGGGGACCTCCCTGGGGACCAGGACCCCTCCACCACCTGGATCTGCAGGAACTCCTCCTCCACCGCGCTCCCCTCCAGGATCTCCGGGGCGGCAGTGGGTCGGTGCTGCTGGGACAGACAGCGACTATCAGGGCACGGCTCTGGGACCGTCCCCCAGCCGGGGCTGCCCTCAGCAACTCCAGAGCTGCAGTGAGGGCACACTGGGAGTTGCCGTCGCTGCTTTCCAAGGGGGCACAGAGAGCTGAGTTGGGGTTGGAGCAGGACGTGGATAAGGGGAAGGACATAGCCTGGCAGCAGCTGGGGAATTTCGGGAGGGCAGGAGGAGCCGGAGGGGCGCTGCTGCCCAGGTAAACCACCCACCTGGCCTCGTGTGCGTGGCGGGGCACGGCCTGACCCCTTTGCTGCCCCTCTGGAGGGTTGGTCCCGGCGTTTAGAGGCTCTTATCAGAGGAGGTTTGCTCAGCAGCACCTTCCCCGCGGGCTCCACGCTGGCATCTGTGTCTGCAGGAGCAAAGGAGTGCTGGGATGGAGGTGGAAGGGCTGGAGGGGGACCAGGGTGCCACAGCACTCCCATGCAACCAGCACCTCTAGACCCTGGCACCCCACACACCACCCTCCATATGCCCCCTCCGTGCTGAGGAGCAGGAATTTGGGCTGCTGGGAGAGCCATGTCCCCATCCCACCATGCCTACCTTCCTCCCCATCCAGGCTGGGGGGCACGGGGCTGGTGCCCGGGTCCGGGGTGGTGTCCTCTGAGCCCAGGGAAAACCACTGGGCCGTGGCGGGGTGCAGGCAGCTGGCCAGCACCGAGACCACGCAGAGGAGTCTCAGGAGGCTGCTGGACCCCATTCTGCTGCCCACGATGGGGGGGTCCTTGGCTTGTCCCACTCCTTGTGCCGTCTGGTCCCGCGGCCCCGGCTCGGCGCCCTCTGTTATCGGCGGCCCCGCCACGCCCCCGGCCCGCCCCGCACCCACACCCGCACCCACGGACCGCATCCGGAGGGTGCTGAGCCCCCACGGGGCCGGGACACCGTCTGTGCTGCCAGCCCGGGGACAGGGGGCACTGGGAGCCGCAGGAAGGGAGGAGATGCCAGGATGGATGCGAGGGAGGGCTGGGGAGGAGAAGCTGCCTGGAAATGGGGAGTAAATGCAGTGGAGGAGGGGGCATTGGCTGCGGGTCCTCCCTGAGGTCTGTCCTGCTGCTGGTATTGGAGTCCTGCAGCAGCTGTGCGGGCGTCATGTCCAAAGTACATTCAAAGGGCCTGGGGTCTCACTGGTTTCATCAGAGCCACCCTCAGGTGGGGGTTACAGCCCTCTCTGACCCCCAGCCCCCTCCTGCTCCTGCCTTTTGCCATCCTGCAACCTCTCCCCAGGGCTGTGGCAGCTCCAGACCCCGCTGGGTGTGTGGCTGAGGATCTGCAGCCAGTTTGGGCCCCCACAGCCTCAGGAATCCCAAAGAGCCCCCATCAAGGACTGGGGGCAGGGGGCTGTGCCAGGCAAGGACCTGAGCACCAAACACCAGCACTGAGCCCCTGCCTGGCCTCAGAGCTGTGTTGGGGTGGGGGCAGCACAACTGTGGGGGGCACCAGCCCAGGCCCAGTCAGTGTTACAGGATGGTGCTGGGATGGTGCTGGGACACGGAGCTGCAGGAGCAGTGTCTGGGCAGAGGTGAGGGAACTGTCCTCCCCTGCATGCCCCCACTGCCTGCAGACACAACAATCTCCCTGGCGGGCACTCAGTGCTGCCAGGGCCTGATAAGGTGCCACAGCCTGGGCAGGACTGGGCACCTGTTTGGGTTTGGTCTCTGCTGGGACACTGAGTCAAGGCTGGTGCCTCTGCCCCAAGTCAGGGCCACTGTGCAGCAGTGCCAGGCAGGGCAGGGGCTCAGAGCTGTGTGAGGAGACCTTGTGGGGGCTGGGGATGTGGGGGACACAGACCCTGCTTGTCCCTGTCCTTGCCTGCACTTGCTGCTGCCCAACTCACCTGCACGGGAGAGAGAAGATTGTCTGGAGAGCCCTGGTGGCAATGCCACCAGTGCTGTGTCACTCAAGCCTCAAAATGCCACTTTGAGCACTGGATGTACTCACCCATGAGATGAGTTTGGGCTTCTCAGCCTGCATGACAGGCAGCTCTGCTCCTCTTGTCCCACCCACCGCACTGACCCCCACACCAGGGCCCCCCTGCCACATCCAAGACCCCCGTGCTGTGCTCACGCCCCCCTCCAGGACGGAATAGATCCAGACAGCTCCCTCCAGTTGTCCCAAACCCGGTTTTGCCCCAGGGCGCAGCTCGGGGGTCCCTAGCCCCGGGTGATGCTCGGGGCTGTCCCGCGGGCACAGGGGCTGCTCCCCGCGTCTCCGGGCTCCCGTCCTCTCCCGGTGCAGCGGGGACTGGCGGGGCCGGGTCCCAGGAGGCAGCCGGGGCCCCCGCCCGCTCCCGCTTTTCCCAAGTAGCCGCTAGGTGCCGGCAGCCTTCAACCCATCCCGGGCTGTGCGGGGCGGGGGGCGTGGGGGGCTGCGGGACCGGGGCCAGGTGGGCTCGGGGGCCCGGCGGGGCCGCCCTGGGCCGTCCCGGACACACTGGGGCCGAGCCGTGCGGGATGCTCCGTTATCAGCAGCGCTTCTCCTCCCTCCGGGACCCCCCACGCCCGGAGCCCGGAGCCCACCCGGGGGTCTTGGGGGCGTTCCTCGCGCTGCAGCCCCGCTCGGTGTGACCCCCGTTCATCCCGGTTGCTCTCGGGACTGAGCAGGGTTGGAGGAGGCGGGGGTTCGGGTGGGCGCCGCGGGGCCGGGGGCTGCGCAGCGCCGGGGCTGCCCCGCCGGTGGCCCCGCCGCTGAAACCACCGGCGGTGCCTGTGCCGGTGTGGCCGCCGCCGTGGGGCGGGGGGGGAGCGTCGCTGCCCGGTGGGTTCCCGGTGGCGACGGGGGCGGCCCCGCCGGTGGCCCCGGTGGCGGCGGCGGGAGGTGTGGCCAGGGGCCGCATAAAGCCGCATAAAGCCGCCGCCGCCGCCCCGCGCCCGCCGCCAGCCGAGCGCCGCGGAGCGGGGCCGGAGCGGGGCCGCCATGCGCCCGCGGCTGCCGCTGGGGCTGCCGGTGCTGCCGGTGGTGCTGGCGCTGCTGGCGGCGGCGGCGCGGCCGGGCAGCGGCGAGGAGGCGATCCAGTGCCCGCCGTGCTCGGAGGAGCGGCTGGCGCGGTGCAAGGCTCCGCAGGGCTGCGCGGAGCTGGTGCGGGAGCCGGGCTGCGGCTGCTGCGCGACCTGCGCGCTGCCCCGCGGCACCGCCTGCGGCGTCTACACAGCGCGCTGCGGAGCGGGGCTGCGCTGCTACCCGCCCCGCGGCGAGCCCCGGCCCCTCCGCACCCTCATGCACGGCCAGGGCATCTGCACAGACCTGGCCGACGTCGAGGCCATCCAGGAGAGCCTCCAGCCCCCAGGTGAGGCGGCGGAGGGGCGGCAGAGGGTGGGTGCCCCCCAGGGTGGGTGCCCCCCAGGGTGGGTGCCCTGGGTGGGTGCCTGGGGGTCCTTGTCCCTCGCAGGGGCAGTGCCATGACCCCTGTTGGCACCAACCCACTCCCTGCTCACTCGGCAAGAGCTGTGGACTCTTCCCATACTTAGAGGGAGCTGATAAAAATGATGAGGAGTGACTTCTACACGGATAGATTGTGACAGGGCAAGGATTTTAAACTAAAAAGGGGAAAATTTAGATTAGATGTTAGGAGGAGATTCCTCCCTGTGAGGGAGGTGAGGCTCTGGCACAGGTTGCCCTGAATATTTCTGGATGCCCCATCCCTGGAAGTGTTCAAGGCCAGGTGGGATGAGGTTTGGATCAACCTCGTCTGGTGGAAGGTGTCCCATGGCAGGAGGGCAGAACTGGGTGGTCTTTAAGGTCCCTTCCAGCCCAAACAATTCCTTAACTCTGGGATGGGACAGCACAGGATGGGAAGGCAGGGAACATGTTCCAGGGAGGGAGCAGAGACAGGCTGCAGGAGAGCTGGCACAAGGGGCTTACATTTGTGCCGTCCTTACCCACCGCGGGCACAGCAGTGTCGCAGCCACTGGCACCACATGTGCTGGAGGGGTGAACCTTCACCTGCTGTGCCCTGGCTGCAGCGTGGTCCTGGACCACGGGACAGTGGGACAGTGTCCTGCGAGCACCTGCAGCCCTTGGGGACACATCCCAGCTGCCAGGGAAGCTCCTGGTGCACGGTGACCCCTGGAATGCTGCTGGCAGGTCTGGCTGCACCAGATCTGTTTCCCCCCTGTTTTCCAGGGGGAAACAGGAAAGAGGGCACGGGGCACCTGCTTCCCTCCAGGCAGGGCCAGCTGGGAGCTGTGTGGGAGCTGTGTCTGCCCTGCCAGGCTGGAGGAGCTGCTGCCCCTGTGCTCTGTCTGCCTTGCAGGTGGGGCGGTGACCCCTGGTGCTCGGGCAGGATTTGGGGTCTGAGAGCAGAACCAGCAGTGGGAAGCCACCCCAGAGCTGTGCAGGTCACACCATGGCAATGAAGCTGCTCCCAGGGAATGAGTGTGGGGACCTGGCCCGTTGGTGGTCCCCCTTTCCCATCCTGCAGGCTGTGACCAGGATTGTGTCCCCTGAACAATCTCCATCTGGCCTGACCCTGGTCCCCACGTGGGGTCACTTAGAGCTCCCTGAGGGGCAGAAGGGACAGGAGCAATGTTTGTCCCTGCCCATCTGGAGGGCTGGATCCCACTTCCACTGCCTCCTTGCATGTCTGATCCATGGCACTCCTCTGGTGTCCCCGTTGTGATGAGTGCCACTCGTGGATAGGCCCCTCTGGCCACCCCATGCTGGGACAGGAGCTGGCTGGGAGTGCTCAGAGCCCCCCTGCCTGCCTGCCTGTCCTCATCCCACATCCTGCAGGAGCTGTCTGGGCTCCCTGGCCCGGGGCTGCGCCGCGCTGCCAAGCCCTGTTGGTTTTGGCCGTGCGGCGTGTAATGCAACATTTTTTCCCAGAGCCTTGAGGAAACAGACTTGCATTTTTTCCCTTCCTTCCCGCGGTGTTTTGGCTTGGCTGAGGATGGGTGGGTGGCTATGGCAGCCGGGTCGCCCGCCGGGCACCTCACAGGCAGCAGGATGGGCCAGAGGGCAGCAGGAGCCCTGTGCCCTGGACAGGAGGTGGGCAGGACACCCACAGCAATCAATGCCATCCCAGTGGTACATCCCAGGGATGGTGGCAGTGTGGGGCTGGGGGCTCCCACACAGCCCTGCCTGGCACAGCAGGGCACCCTGGCATGGCTGGTGTCTCTGATGTCCCCTGGGGACCAGCAGAAGGGAATTAGGTGCCCTCCTGTGCAGGGGCAGGGCTGTTCGGAGCAGGTGCCCCCGGCCGTGCCCGCGGCCCCGAGCGGTGCCGGCGGCTGGGAAGCGGTTAACGTGCCTCTACAGTAAACATTTTGTCTGGGGGCTCTGGCCGGGGGGCTCCGCATTCCAGGGAAGAGGCTGGGATCAGGGGGCCGGGCTTTGGGAGCAGTCGGACACGGCTCCGGCTCCACAGCCAGGAGGAGCCTCTCTGCTCACCCGGGACCGGTGGCACCCACGGGATGTGACCCTCAGGAGGTGAGGAGCAGAGGCTGCTCACCTTACTCGAGCGGGTCTGGGCACCTTGTGCTGGAACCTGGCCGTGCCAGCTCACGGCTGGCTTTGGGATCCCACTCCTCAGCCAGAACCCTGTGCAGGGCCGGCTCCAGAAGGTCCCAGCCTCGTTTTTCTGTCACAGACGGCGGGTGGTGGTGGCTGAGCCCATGTGTGGCAGCCAGGAGGAGGTGAGGACATGTTCCCCAGCACACACGATGAGTGATTTAGTGTTGGGTAAATGATTATGTCTGGGAAAACCTGACCCATGGGAGCTGCCTTCATCCCGTGTGGTCTCTGTAAGCTGGGACAGACTCTGTTTCCTTTCTGTGCGCAGTCACTGGGGGGAATGGTGGTGGCTGAGCAATGGCTGGGCAGTGCCAGGCAGGGAGGACAGGCTGGGCTCTG